CACACAATTTTCTCAGGAACGTTTCCATTCGTGTGGTGAGCAACGTCAGTAATTTGGCTCCCCACGCAGCCTCCGATGTGCTTGTTGAGGTGTGGGGTGGTGGGCCACATGAAGAGGCTGCAGGGTTTGGACATTTGTGAGATTATTATTCTCCTCCAGTTATTGTTACAGTTATTAATCCTATCAAGGAATAAGTCATGGCCACTGTTGGCTAGTGAGGGAACTCCAGCAGAAAGAGCAAAATCAAACATGGCGCTCCTCCTTGCCTTTGCCTAAGCTAGTTTGCTCTGCCAAGAGAAGTGAGACAGGGCAGGGCTTGCTGGGCCAGCATCTGGGTACATTATACCTCCATGGCTGGCCTTTGGAGCTCCAACCCTAGACAGCCACACAGAAGCTGGGATGAAGGGTCACCCTCAGTTCAGTGAGCAATTGGGAACATTCATTTAAATTAACAGATCAGATGGGTAGATGAGACAGGCCAGGTAAGCCTGGGAATGAAGACGATGATGGTGGTGGGGATGATGGTGATAATAATACCATTTTTGTGCACTTATTATGTGCTTGGAAGTGTGCTAAGCACTTCTACAAACCTCACATTTAAGGAGTCCCCGACTGGTGCAACAGTTAACATGCTCGGCTGCTAACTGAAAGGTTGGTAGTTCGAGTACATACTGAGGTGCCTCAGAAGAAAGAGCTGCTGATCTACTTCCAAAATATCAGCAATTGAAAACCCTATGGAGCATACTTCTACTCTGGCACAAAGGGGGTCACCGTGAGTCAGAGTCGACCTGACAACCGCTGGTTTGGTTTTGGTTTTTATCATGTTTAAAATTCCTACTTTCCCATGAGGTGAGTACCATTGTCATCCTTGTAACAATAAGAAAACTAAGGCACATAGAGGAGAAGTAACTTTTCCAAGGTGACACAGAACTAGTAAACATTGGTGAAGAGACCTGAACCTATACCCATCTGACTCGCCCGACAGGCTTTGTGAGAATCTAATGTGTTTATTGAATTAGTTTGCGGGTGAAACCACCATCATGGTGGTGGGATATGGAAAGGACCTCAGTCTTGGGAGCAGAAGCGGTAGGTCCATGCCAAGCTTTCCCAGGTAATAGCTGGTCACAGGCCCTATTAGCTTCTGTGTTCTCAGAGATGATAATTTCACGGGGTTATGGCTAGGGGGAAATGAAAGAGTCTAGCACAATGCCTAGCACATATCAGGTGTTCAATAGATCTTTATTGAATATATTAATGAATTTGAGCTTATCTGCTACCATTACAATTCATTCATTCAACCAGTTAATGTTTACTGTCTACCAAGTGCCAGGCAATGGAGAGGCATGAAAATTATAGTGTTGAACAATAAGAGACAAAGTCCCTGTCCTCAGGCAGCCCAGCAGGAGAGAAAAACTTTTAAATAATCATACAAATAAATGTACAAAGAGAGCTGCTGGGTCCATGAGTCACCCTTAAATGCTCTGTGTGTGAAATGGAACTGATAGTCTTGCCCCACACCTGGTCCTCTTCCAAGATCCTCTCTTATGGCGACACAATTTATCCATCTCCCAAAGCCCTAGAGTCCAACATGAATCTTCTTACAACCCTGCACCCCATCGACCCCCCACTTCTGCAGCTCTCACAGTCTGATTGTGCCTACAGCTGTGATTTGAGGAGTTATAAAGGGCCAAACCGAAAACCACCTTCTCCACAGGCCAGAAATTCCCACCCATGGAAACATTTTACCCAGGCCTATATTACAATAGCCCCCACACAAGCACAGAATTTGTTTATACCACCATAAGAAGGGCCTTGTGTTAGATACTTGGAAATTTATTTTCCTAGGAGTAAGAAGAAAAATTTAAAAATCTTTTCGAGTTTGCCCACTGCAGAGAAACTGGTTGCAGACCAAGAGAAGCTATGAAGGCACACGGTTTTATCTTGCGTTATTTATGTAGATTTAAGAAAAATATTCAGTTGATTTTTAGAAATGCTCTTCTGCAGGGATCTTTTACTAAATGTGTAAGTAGTGACTCTACCTGTGACCTCAGTTTCTAACCACATTAAAACTAATGATAAAGAAATAGAGTCCCTCCCCTTGCCAGACTATACTAATCTCAGTCATCTAGGGATTATCCACCCCTGCCTGTCCAAGACTGCTAACCTTTGAAATTCAGAAGGACTTGTGGTAGTACCGCCACTGGACAGAAGAGGGCGACAGACCCCATTCAGGCGTCTTCTCCCCTAGTATCACACAACTCTTTGCAGCCTTCTGAGACACACAGGTGGTGTTATTATTTCCATTCCACAGGTGAGGAAACTGAGTCCCAGTGAGATTAAAGGATTCTCCTCCAGATTGCACAGCTGGGAACCCTGGAGACATCTAATTGTCTATACAGCAGAAGGCCTGGGAGTGTCAGGATGATTGGAAGGGTCATAAGGGGTTAGAAGACTTGAAGTTGCTTTTGCAGAGCACTTTGTGCAAGATGGAGAGAATGTTAATTGTCCAGTGCTACTCTGACTAGAGAGTGGCAAAGCAGGAATATGAACTCAAGGTTTCTACCTCTAAATCCAGGGCCTGAATCTGCAGGGTGTATGTGGATTATCTAGTTCTTCTGACAATGGGAGATGGATTTCTGCCCCCCACCCCACTTTGATTTCTGTCCTCATTGGCCCTTGTTCTTAGTATAGAGTAAGTGAAAAGGCCAACATGACTCTGAATGTTGGCAGAGAGGCCCTAAATTAAAACCTGAATCGAGACCCTTGGCCCACCTGGGAGGTGGTATTATAGAAAGGGTGAGAACTAGGAAAGGTCCTTAAGTAACCAAAACCAAACCCATTGCTGTCGAGTGGATTCCGACTCATAGTGACCATATAGGGCAGAATAGAACTGCCCCACAGGGTTTCCAAGGAGCGGCTGGTGGATTCAAACTGCCAACCTTTTGGTTAGCAGCTGAACACTTAATCACTGCACCATCAGGGCTCCAGCTGTATTGTATTTCCACACACTGAGTTGACTACACGGAAGTCTTGATGATGATGACAGCAGCAACATTAACTACCATGTGCTGAGCTCTGACTCTGGGCCAGGCACCACATTATTTACTGCATTATCTCATTGAATCCTTCCAAGGAGCCTCTGAGACAGGTAATAGTATTCTTATCTTACAAGTGAGGAAAGTAAGGCCAGAGAACTTAAGTAACTTGCTCTAGTGCACCCGGCAAATAATTGCTGCAGCATTACTTGGCCGCAAACATCTGCACACACACTCCTATGCCTCCATGTGCTGTATTCCAAGGGTTCCTGACATCTGAGGTCAGGCGGCTAAGTTGGCAGCGTATTTCAGAAGTCAGCTCAATGACAGCAGTGAACTCGTATGCCGTTGTACAGAAATTCCAGTAATGGTAGCCTCTTTTACCCCAGAATTCGAAATTTCCCAGAAGAGCCCAATTAACCCCAAGGAACACATCACCAAGGTTGTTTTTCGCCTGGGATTCTAAGGATCGGAGAACATTCTCCATTGGTTCAGAAAATTGGCAAGTAAAACTTATGAGAAACATTTAAAACCCAGAAGAACAAGAACATGTTCCCCTTGTGCTATGTGGGGATTGCATAAACTGTGTACCATGGCTGACAGTGGATTACAACCTAAGTCCATTTATTTGCAGCCAACATTGCTTAGGTATACATTTAACACACTAAATAGAGGGTCATTTTTTTTTCTTTTCTTTTGCCTCACTCTGGTACCTATTTTTGGGTATAAGGCATTTGGCAGGTCTGTTTGAAGACGAACCATCAAAACAAAGCCAAAGAATTTAATCCTGCAGCTCTAAACCCAGGCTTCAGCCTTCCTGTAGAGGACAATGCCACCCGGTCTGTACATGCCAGCTTCTACCCCATTACCTGTGCATCCAAGGGTAGAGAGTGAACACCAGTAAGAGTCTACAACCTTTGGTGCATATTCCATGAACAATGAAGACTACCACTGTATAAGCCACCACGTGCAAGCCAGTGTTTTGCATTGCATTTTAAAGCTCGTCTTGCAGGACCTTACTTTTTACCTGTGCTATTCCGTGTCTCCTGATGTTACCCACACTTCCCTCCCCTTGATTTGCAGGATGTGTGACTCTTTCGATTGCTGACCCTCTGCAGGGACAGATCTGACTTTTGGCTGCTCTGCAAACTCTAATGCCTCTGTGGTGCTCAGGGAATCTCCAATAACATCACCGTAGGACTCAGACACCAGCACCAGGAGTACTAAAGCAGAAGGAAGAGAGTTTTATACTTAGATAGTCGAGAAGATCCTTTTCTCCAAAGTCATACCTTCATTTATCACCATCATCTGCGAGCTGGGCTTGCAGAAGGCTTGGGAGCGAGATTCAGCATTTGGCTCAAATCGCTCCTGCTCTCCAGTTTCTGTAAAGTCTGGAGAAGCACTTTACCCCTCCTGGTTACCACAACCACATCTGCAAGATATGCAGAGTGAAGGCCACATAATTTATCATGTGTAAGACTATGATTATGAACTAGGATTTCACAAATCAAGCCCAGTGGAAACATAACCTGGAGAGTCAGTTAACTTGAAATTGAGCCCATGTCTTTGTACAGGATTTACCACCCCAGACCCATCTTGCTCTTCCCATCATGGAGCAAGCAGGGCCGCTGACCAGCCTTGAGGGCCAGACCTTTCACTGGTTACAGAAACCTGGGAAAATGCATAGATTAAATACTGGCAGCCAAATCTGGTCTCAAAGCAGCTTTGTTAGGTCAGCAGAGAATTCCATTAAAAACTTGAAATAGATCACCTTCAGACAAGTCATGAGCCCCAGCACTGCCTCTTTTCCGTACCAACTTTATGCATTCATGTTACCCCTGTTTCTGAGTGTGCCAGGCCTGAATAGAACCTGGAAGAATGGGGCACCAGTACTGACATATCCTCCAGTCCTTGACCTGGGAAGATACTAGAAAAGCAAAGAGTACAGTAGACAGGGGTGCTTACTGTGCTGGTCACTCCTGTCCCTGGTGCCATCCACTGTGCCATCTGGAAGGATCCTCAAGAAGTGGCCCCCATTGCTACAGTAGAGGAGTTTGGGCTTCTTGTAATTCCCTGGTGGCAGGTTAAACTTCTCGGTCAGGGCTGTGAAGGTTGTGATTTCCCCTTCAGCCATGGCTCAGTAGCTCCTGGTTATGGCTGCCTCAAGACTGTAAGAAATGAAACAAACCTGTAGAATATTCTTCCAGCAAAGGTACAACGTACACTTTCAGAGAGGGAAAGAGAGCCTCCGGGCATAGGGCTCTGGGCAGTTTGTAACCACAGACTGCCCAGGTGGTGCCCACAGTAAACGGGCCCCGGTGGGGGTGGCCAGTGATTATGGAAGGATGGTCCCCAGCATGGGAGGGATTTTCAGTTTCCAACTGGACACAGCTTGGACCAGGCTGTGCATTTTTTTAGAACTTCAAATTTAATCATTTGGCCAAGGTTAAAAAAAAAAAAAAGTTTTAGTCCCTGTTTCTGATCCACACACATCCTCAAATTAAACACTGAAGTTGCACTAAAATAACACCCGGGGTCTGACTGAAACCCGCAAAAGCCAGGAGGCCGGGATGGAGGTTTTGCCCTCCACCCTCACACTGCTGCAAGAGGCTGGTAGCAGATAGCACAGACACCACGCGCAGAGCCTCTGGGCAAAGGCATAGAAAGCCGTTCATGCGCCTCGCAGCCCTTCACAGCAAAGGGTTAACATGTAAAGGAAATATTTTGGGTTTGTTGGTTGGGATGGGAGAGGAATCCGGGAATAAGGCACTTAGGGGTATTAAGCAGAGATTTTTAAAGGGCAAATACTGTACCAAAGGAAATGTTCTGAAACAGATGATTATGAAGAATATGTCTTGTTACTGTCTGCTTCCACAGCTTTCCACGTAGCCTCATATCACATAGAGAGGAATGTCAGTCTGTCCCTTGTGCATCCTAGTTGTTTTCTAATATGAGACATACTTATTATGACCCAGAAACCACCAGTATATATTACAATCCTGTAACGCTGTATACACCCATTATATACAAATTATGAGTGTAAAAATGCATGAATTACACCTCTAACGGTAAAAAAGCAAAACCGATAAACATTAGAATTTGTGCATGTGTTTGTGTGTATGTGTATCAATATTTTGTTCATTGTTATTGCTCACTAGTATTCCATGGTATGGATGTACCACAGAACATTAGAATTTTAAAGCATCTACTTGCCCCACCATTTAGGAGAATGAAGTGCTGGTGGATATCAGGACGGTAAAAGAAAGAAGCCAAAGAGACCAGGAAACTAGCATGGGAGCTTTTTTTTTTTTTTTTTTTTTTTCCATAAATTTGAGTTGGTGCTAATTGTGCACATGATTATCAAGCAGTCTTATAGTAACAATCATCATCATCATTAACATGTTCTGGGCTACAAATTAACTCATATAATCCTCACTGTAACACTGTGAGGCAGACACTAATATTGTCCCCATTTTAAGGATGGAGCCCTGGTGGCACAGTGGTTAAGAGCTAGGGCTGCTGACCCAAAGGTCAGCAATTTGAATCCACCAGCCAATCCCTGGAAACCCTATGGGACAGTTTTACTCTGTCTTATAGGGTCACTAGGAGTCGGAATTGACTCAATGGCAATGGGTTTCGGTTGTTTTTTTTTTTTTTTGGTATTTTAAGTGTAATGGAACTACAGCTTAGAGATGTTAAAGGCCTGTCCAAGGTCAACAGCTAGTAAGTGGTGGAGCTGAGCCGCTATCAGGGGTCTGTGTAAACAAAGCCCTTACTTGCCCTTAATCACTACGAAAAGGCCACGTGACTTCACTGACACTGGACTAGCAGTATTATCACTGAGACTGGGGTTTTCACCTGTTGCCTGGGCACTTACATCTCCTCGTCAGAGTTCATCATTCACTAAGTTATTTGTGACCCAGATGTTGGCTATCACCACCAACAGCCTCCACTTTTACCCCTACGCCAACCTTGCGGCTGCACTCCATGCATGTCTGCATTCCCCAGGAAGAACTCCCCCATACCAGGCGTTAGGGAGTGGTGGGAACTTCACTGAAGACCAGCCTCCCTCCCCGTATTGCCCTGCACTAACCATCCACCCATCTTGGAGCAGCCTCTTGGAGCCGCCTCCATTGAAAGCAGCTCCATCATAAACCAAGCTGCAGTTTGTATGATTTGCCCTTGTGATTTTGGAATTGAGGTTCATGTTGGAGGCCTTCATTTGTTTCCTCTGCTCCCAGCACATCTTTCCCAATATGTAGTCACATGGGCCAGGTTCAGTTATTGTTTCAGGTCCCTTCAAAGCCCCCAGAGGGAATTTTATATACACCATGTAAACTATATTTAACTTCTGATCACCCCCAACATATCCTCCACATATAGTCAGACTTTGTCCAGCTACTTTTGCATAATACAGTAACAGAAAATTATTTCTTTTCATTGTTTTCATAGGAAAGACTGCAGAGGAGCTTACCTTGCACTGCACACTGATTGCAGTTCCCTCCTCAAGCCCTCACTCTCTCTTGCAAACCTTTTTCTTTCACCCACAAGCCTCTAAGTCTCTCTGGGTTTGCTCTGTCTCTCTCATTCTCTCACTGTCTCTCCACAGCCCTCTCCACCCAGCCTGTAAGTTCCCCTCTCACTCTGTCTCATTTCACTCCCCATCTGAGGTAAAGCAATTTCGCTCTTCCAAACACGGACATCCTCACCCATCACCTCTCTATTAGCACACTAGTTCCCGCTTCCTTAAAATACGACTAAGAGATTATACATATTTTTTCTGTATTTATTTTTTTTTCCAAGCACTTACTAAGTTATGTGTCTAGTTTGGTACAGGAGGCAATAATTACATATTAGTGGTTGACATTTACCTGTACAAATAGTCATTCATATTGTCAGTTTGAGGTGAGCAAAATTTTGTTTCTTGTCTCACGGTTTTCTCAAATGGAGGTCCCCGTTTGCCTCTGGTTCATGGCAATTGCGTATTAAGGGTGGCTTTCCTCCTAGATCCAGCACCAGTGGGAAAGTCTCCCTTAAGTGGTTTTCTAAATGTTGGGCATGGATTTGGATGGATCCATTTGCATTCTTTCTTCTACCTCGTTGGGACAAAGGGGGACAGTTGCACCAGAGGCTGGCTCAGGTTGGAGGCACCAGCTGTGGCCAAGGATGATACATATGATTGTGTGTAGCAGCATGCAGCCTGGGCTTTATCACCACTGAGGTCTTGCCCACAAAACAACCTCAGCCAGAGCCCAGTAGATCCTCAGGCACCACCTCACTCCTGATCACACAGTGCAACCTGCAATCATAAAACCCTGTAACTCCATGCTCTGCCTGCTTCCCCCGCCTTTCCAGTGAAAGGGACTGTCATTCCGTCATGGCTATTTCTAATTTCCAATTGCCGTCAAGTCAACTTCGACTCATGGCGACCTCATGTTCACAGAGTAGAACTGTGTTCCATAGTGTTTTCAATGGCTGAGTTTTCAGAAGTAGATCTCCAGGCCTTTCTTCTGAGGCACCTCTGGGTAGACTCGAACCACCAGCCTTTCAGTTAGCAGCTGAGTGCGTTAACCATTTATACCACCCAAGGACTCCTTCATGTCTATACTGACTTCATGGCTTTACTGACTTTAGATTGCTCCTATAACCCACTTCTACTCAGATCCATACCTGGAAACCTGGAGGGGACGTGTTGACTCCTGAAAATAAGCTCGATAGTCAACATGAAGCTGATAGACTATGGCAGTAGGGTTAATAAATCAGCTGAAACATACAAAAAATGAAATCCCTTTTTGTTGCTGAAGGAAACCCCAGACACATGGAAAACCCTTATTTTTAACTTTATTTACAGTTTACCTATATTTTAAGCAGCGGTTGATTCCAAGTTTTCTGCCAATCCAGTATTTGGTAAAGGAAAGAAGTAAAGGAAGTACATGACACAATACACCCATAACGCAGCAACCTTTGCAGACCTTTGGGGATTTACACAAATTGCTCTAGTAAATGAGTCCATTAACTAGAAAAAAAATCAGAGAATAAGCATAATAGAAATTTACAAGCACTGCTTCTTTTTACAATTACCTTTTTGTTTGCTGTCAGGAGAGGCAGTTTCTACATAAGCGTGTTGGGAAATGGAGAAGATCAAGCCCAGTGAACTCCCTGTCATCAGCGGGTGCTAAGCGAGCCCTTTGAGATTTAGGACACTGGTGAGATTTTGGGAAAGACAAAGGTTTTCTTGATTTCTCAGTGACACGAAAGCCTATTGGAATATCCGTGTTAAGGCTGACCTGTGTTGTCAGCTGTAGCCTCTGGAAGGGAACCTGAACTCTGACACATGAACAGGATGTTAAGTATAGACTCTTGCCCAGGAATGCAGTAGTCACTCTTCAGTGTGGTGGTTGGCAACCACTGCAGAGTCCCCACTATGAGCGAATTGGCTCTGGAACCTGGGCGAGTAATTCATTCCTGCTTAGATGTTTCCTCTAATCAACCCCACTTTGCCTACCTCTCAGAGTTGTCTAAAGGGTGAAATGGGCACAGTATTCACAATAAAGCTTTAAAAGCACGGTGAAACCTGTGAGAGCTGGAACTCGACCATACTGCCTTGTTTTTCCAAGTCTTACAAGTTTTCTGCCTTTGACAGGGTGCAGCCTTACTCCTTTTCTATTGCTTGTTTTAGTGGAAAATATTTGAATTTTCCTTCTTTGACAGGTTTCCACCTTACACAGGCTCCAACTGTCACAGGTTTTATACATACAACAATGTGTATAACAATGTGGCCTGAACTATAGGATATGAGTAACTGGTTGTGTTGAAGTCTGGTGTGGTCTAGGTCAGCTGTGATTAAATACTTAATTTAAAATAATTTTTCATCTGGTTCTAAAATAGTTTTTTGGTGCCTTCCATATGGGGGAAGAAATTAGCTAAGTCCCCCATTATTTAAGCTACAGACGTGGCAGAGAAGCTGATGGAGGCAAAAGTAAGCCATGGTTATGTAAGAGAGAAGCCAGGTCATCATTTCAGAGTCGGTTTTCAGCTTATCAGAAGTTATTGAGGTGACATTTGTGAAGGCAGCTATTTTTATGAGCCATTTGTTCTCACCTTGGCCCTGGTGGCTAAGCTGGAAAGGAAAGACTTGTGATTCTGGGAATCAAGGGAAGGCATATAT